TATAGGCGCTTTCCGGTATGGCTTTGAGTTCCCTCTGCGAATTCTGTTTTACGTCTTCTATGGATTCAAAACGCGTTCCTCTGAGTGGTAATTTGAGGTTGGGAAACAGGAAAAAGTCACACGGTGCAAGATCAGGTGAATACGGTGGCTGTTCGATGGTATTTATTGAATGTTTGGCCTTAAAATCGTTGATAATGTTGAACAAATTGAGGTGAATCGGAACAAGCCGGGCGTTGACACGTCGCATACACAAATTGTCCACCAAAATCAAACGAGCCATCTCACGACCGATGCCTAGCTCTCGTGCTATCTCTCTAACACTCACATGAGGATTTTTGAACACGATTTCCTTTGCCTTTTCAATGTTTTCGTCGGTGGTAGAGGTCGAAGGTCGTCCAGAACGCGGCATGTCTTCGACGGTCGTACGACAGTCCTGAAAGGCTTTGTACCACTCATAAACTTGAGTTTTCGATAAAACTGATTCCCCATAAGCCTTTTGTAGCATTCGCAACGATTCTGCACACGAAATTTCGTTCGAAAAACAAAATTTGATGCAAACTCTTTGTTCAATATTTTTTTCCATTGTTTTTTTCGCAACGCACTACTGAGGTGAACTGGTTTCAACAGCTGCCGTAAACGAACTGTCTGACAGATCGCGCTCATTTTTGGCATAGTAATTAAGGACAGTGCTGCCAAACTACATAAACTTAAAATATCGAAAAATATACAGCGCGCGAATTTTAAATGAGAATTTCCGAAAGCTTTTCGGTCACAATGTATATTAACACGTGTAAAATATTGTATTTTATACTTATGAAACTAAATAAATATTGTTAGATATTCACTTGATGTAACCTGGTGCTAAAAGATTACTTACGTAGATACATACATACCTTGAAATTCAAATGTATATAATAAATTTTACCAACTGAGTATCTAAAAAGGAAAACAAATATGTAATATTTTAACACATTTGCTTTAAGTGGAAAAAACAGAACCTAAATAAACTGAAAATCGACGCCTCAACATTTTTCATATATATTATATTAGGCAGGTTTTTTTTTCTTACACTCTTACAACTCAAAGAAACGATGAATTCACAATTTATGGAAAAACGTACTTGATTGTGTCCTTTCACGATCGATTGTTCCTACCTGATGTATGATGCGTACTTATATTACTGATAAATTTTCGGAAAATAAGATGAATTACTCACTATTCGTCCCTCATCGTTAAACTCAGTGGTTAGTTTTAATATTTTTCTTAATTTCTTTTTAAAATTTTTATTTTTAATTTTAATTTTTTTTTTAATTTTAATTTATTATATAGTACGCACAATTGGCTGATTGATTGTCTCAACCACTGTTATAGACTATTGTCTTATTTTTGTAACCTTTCATTGTAAAACATTCATGCAATTAAATATATTTACATTTTTTTTATATTCGTGATTTTAGTGCTGTTAACAGGCACTTTTTACATGTTTCGGTTTTTTGGTGATGTTAGTTTAGCACTTTGATATTAAAAAAAAATATTTGAGGTATGTTTAGCACTAACTACATGGCTAAATGAAGTGGAGATGTTAATTTCATGATTGACACATATTAATTCTATTTAGGCGTTGTTACATTTTTAATGTGTAACTTAATCACTTTAGTGAATGATGTTAAGGATTGTTTTCAAGAGATTGATAATAATAAAATTTGATTGTATGTTCTTTATCTTGATGATATCTAAACCTTTTTTCGTCTCTTATTTAATCAAGGGTTCAATTGAAAATCTACTGTTATAAAGAATCTGATCAGTAATTAATCATACTATATACAAACAATATGTATGTATGTTGTATGTATATATAATACATAAGAGAATCGATAAGGCATATTCTTTGGAAGAACTTCAGAAATTGCTTCCCATATATATAAAGTTGTTATCTTTGAAGCATTTTTTTAAATTGACTTGAACAATTTTTTTTATTAATATAAAATCTATACACACACGCCCATACACACATCGATATTTTTATGCGTGTATGTTGTATTGTATCTGCATGCAATATAAATTGTCTGTCTGGTTTAGCACTTTTATTCCACAACTTCAACAAAATATGTTTGCTTCTACATCATTTAAACGAACATACCTACATTTGCGTTGTAGCACTTCTTTATGTCTGTTTCTGTTTCTGTTTCTTTTTTCTTTTTTTATTTCTGTTATTTTTGTTTTCATTTGTTTGAATTTCACATATCTCAAATAAAATTACCAAAACAGCTGATTCAAATGAATTATAAATAACATTCAAATACTAACAGTCACACTCACACATCCCCTGATAAATGTTACGTTCGATTCTGCCTGCCATAAAATAAATACGTCAAAAAACCTTGAAGTAAATTTTGTATTTTTCTCTTTGTATTTTCTCTCTTAAGCATTTTTTTTGTTATCTTGTCCATGTATAAAGAAAAAATAGGAAATTTTTCTACTAAATTATAATTTAACACTAGAACGACTGTATATACTTATTAAGTAAAAAGTTAATTTTTTCATTTTTGAAATGTTATAATAGTAATGAAATATTTATGTACTATAATATTTAATTTATTAACACTAAAATAGGGTAACTAACATTTATTAGTGAAATAATTTATAGACTTGTTTGGTTTTCAGTTGTAATATGCAATTTAATTGATTATTTAACTGTAGTAGACTCGATTTTAATATTTCATTGAATATAAAATTTTTTACGTTAATTATGAAATGTTAATTAATTAATTTAATTTATATATGTATATAATTTTATTATGTATTTAATTTTTCTTTTTATATTTTTATTTTTTTTTTTTAATTTACAATTATTTGAACATAATAAAAGAATTAATATTTAAATTATTAAATAATAAATATAATTATATTTATTAATTATTATTATTTTTTTTGTTGTTTTTGACTTTCAATAGTTTTAACTTTCATTCGCTGAAGTGTTTTTGATAGCAAATAGAATACATTGTTTTTTTTTATATAGTAATTATTAAATGCTTATAAATTTATATGTATATATATTTTTTACTGATTTACAATAGTTTTAGCTTTTACTCGCTTGAGAGTTTTTTGAAAGTAAATAGAATTAATTTATTTTATAAAGAATTTCTTATAATTTATTAAAGAATTTATAGTCTTTCTATTTTTAAAAAAATCTATTAAAAATAAATTTACATACATACATATATACTCGTTTGAAAGTAGGACAAATTTATCAAATCAACTCGTAACATCTGACCTCAGTGGATGGCGTTGAAAATATATAAAATGATGATAGAAACTATTATCATAAAAATAGGAACTAGTATATAAAACTAAATATAAACATGTAAAATGTGTTTTGTACATGCATATAAACATATAAGGTAATAGACTTAAATATATGATAATAGGAACTACTAGTCAAAATACTGCAATGCATACATATGTACATCAAACGAGTAATTTAAACGCATAATTTTATGTAATTAGAACACAACCAATTTCTTGATCACTTAACTATGTATATACACATGCATATAGATGTGTGTGTCAGTATATTTCTAAATTAATAAAAACATGCGCACTTGTCTCTACTGTAAAATACAATATAGCAATTTAATAAAAATATTTTTTTTTTAATTTAAGAAGAAAAAAATTTAATTAAGCAAATATGCACATAAAACTTAAAAGTGAAATGGTATTTTTTTTTTGTTATCAAATCGATACCAATAATTCAATAATATACAAACTTTGTCAATATTATTAGTTTAAAACTGTAAATCAAGGTCGTGTCTGATTTTAAAAGCCAATAGCGTATCTAGTACATATAAGGTGTTTATACAATAGTCACTAATTATAATTTTGTTAAGCATAAAATATGTATACATGTATATATATATATATAAAGATATTTAAGAGAGCATGTTAAGTGTTATTGAATAGAAACAAAACAAAGCAAATCGATTTTGAGCTGGTATTTTTAGATGTTTTATACTCTTTCACGTAAAATGTATATTTGTACGTTTACGCTCTCTTAACTTGTTTTTCACTATATTGTTGTTTTTGCTTGGTCGTTGCTCTCATATGGCGCATGTGTTTTTCTATTTTTTGCATTTGCTTGCCATATACCATCAAATGTATACAAAAAAAAAAAAAACAAAAAAGGAAAAGACAAAATTATTTGCCTTGTTTTTAATATCAAATTTGCTTTGGTCGGTCATATGGATGGCATGGACTTTGTTTTGATTCTTTTTTTGGTTTTAAATTGTATTTTGCATTACCGTGTGTTTTATATTAAGTGCAAAGCAAGAGAAAAATAAAGTTTGTTATTGTTTTCTCTGCTTTTTAACTGCTATTATTTAAATTTATATAATAAATATGAGACAGAGAAAAAATATTTTAATGCTTAAGATATGTTGTTGTAGTTGTTGTTGTCGTTGTCGTTTTTGTTATTATTGCTGTTGTTATTGTTGTTGTTGATTTGTATTTGCTATTTCTGCTATATATGCTGGTGTAATATTAGTCTGTTTTTATAATGCCTTGTTTTGTTTGATTTGATTGCTTTTTGCTTAGGATTTGTGTGTGCTGCTGGCTGTGCTTCGTTCGATTCGTGTTTTGTTTTCTGTGTTTTCTGTATTTTTGTTTTAATATTTTGCTTTTGTGGTGTTACTGCCTCTACTGGTTGGCTTTTCGCTCAGCTGTTTGAAAAGAAAGCAATTCAGTCGAGCAAGCAACGTCGTGGTGTATAGCGTTATGAGTTTTTAGTTGTCTTTTGCACTTGAACCAACATCAGTTAAAAGTGAAAAAGAAAATTAAATTAAATTAAATGAAAAATAAACAGATTAAAACAGAAATTTCTAAAACAAATACAAAATTAAAAATGCATATAATAAAAAACAAATGTACTATTCAAAATAATCAAACTTTTAGTGTTACAAAATATTGTGCATAATATTTAATTTATGCTGATGATGAATGTTTTTTGTTTAAATTCTCAAGTTTATTATTATTACTAAAAAAAAATAATGTACGCTACATACTATTTTATTTAATTCGTGAAGAAATTTCCTAGCTGATCATGCCACATAACCGTTGAGTTAAGACAATAACTACATAGTTGTCTTGTTTCTTTTCGTATGTCTGTAAACCAGTAACTGGTAACGGTGAATTTTCATAAATAATTGCAGTTAATAAAACCAAATTGAAAGTGAGTTAGTTCAATTAAATAATATTTGTAAATTAAAAAATATATTGTATATTGTAGTTGTATAATAAAATGATTATACAATATAAATTATATGTGTACAATAAATATTTTGAAATATATATTTTTTGTAATATTTCTTTTTCTACAATAAGAAAACACAAATGAATTGATTAAAAAATGCTGTCTCTGCAGCAATATAGACCCCCCACCATTACTCTATTTTACATTGCGTAGTTTGTTACTTGTAACGGAAAAGTAGATACAAGTAATACAAAATTTCGCTTATACAATTTGTCACTAAAGAAAAAATTATTGCTATTAAAATAAAGACATTTTTTACCATTTACTTAGTTAAATTATTATTAAATAAATTTTTCAGTTAAACAATTTAAATTGTTTTGCCTGTATGGACTTTGTAGTTATAAATTTATATAAATGAAATTGTCTTCTGAAAACATATGGGTATTAATATGTGTGCATGTGTGTGTGTATTTGACACTGCTGCAATCAAAGGGAAAAACTCATATAATTGACACACATTCTCTAATAATTGTGAGACGTATTTAAATTTTCTTCATATCTCACTCAGTCGACTGAGTTGCTGATTTTCACATTTGTTTATGCATATGCCAGCCTTTGTGTGTAGGTGTGTGTGTGTGTGTATATATAACTAAGCAACTTCTCAACTGTTGACTACTTGAATTTCTTGTTTCCTTCCTCTTTAGTCATTTTTTCTCTCTTTTTCTCTTAAATTACAAGTTTTATATCTCATTTTGCTTTTTGTGCTTTTTGTGCTGGTTTTGCCTTTTCAGTTTAATAAAATATTTTTATTTATAAATAAAAGTTTTTGTCTAATTAGCATGACCAGCTGAAATACAAAACAAAAAAAAAAACTTGAAAAGCTAATAAAAAAGCAAATGAGAAGTGGAACAAAAAAAACCATAAGGTAAAAGCAATAAAATTACTGTTTGTTGACATTTATGTTTTAAAAACAAATGAACTGCGAGAAAGGACTTATAAAAGAAATATTTAAAATTTGTTAAATATGTTCTTTGAATATAAATATAAAACTAGCTATTAATATATTTATATTTTTACCATATGCATGGGTATTGTGTTTAATTATCTAGAAATTTTAATAATAAATAAAAACAAATATTCTCTTTTTGTTATTATTTTGCATTTAACTAAACTAAATTTAAAAATATTTTTACACAATTTTTTTATATGTTTAATTAAATAATTTTTTGTTTCTAATTATGGCATGTAAAAATACATTGCTTTCATGTTAACATAAATATATGTATGTATATATACAATACATAAAAATGACGTAACTACTATTGCAAAGATATGGTTTTTTTCACATATCAAAGTGTGTATTTACTTATGTATCTACGCATGAACATTTATTTTCTTTGAGTGTAGTTTTATTTTTTTGTTTGGGTTTTTGAGGGTCGTGTGTACAAATGTTTGGCAGCATACATTTTTATGCTGAAACCTGAAATTTAAGTCTTAAGGGCAGATACATATATTTTTTTCACTTAGAATTAATTAAATTTTATAAATTTGAAGATCATTTTAAGGGCATTTATAGTTTTCTTACTTCATTTTTAATTAAATTAGTTAAGTAAATAATAAAAAAAAATATAGCAAATTATTTATATGAATTTATAATTTAAAAAAAAAATGTATCTACACAATCTCACTAATTGCGATATACATAGATACATTATAGGGCAATTAATATAAACTTACTCAATATGTATTCTAGAACAGCAAAAAAAAAGGTTTTTTTTATATATTAAATTTTTTTTTTATATATATGAACATTATTTTTATACATAATATTATTAATAATATATAATAAATATTAATATATAATATAAATATAATATATATATATAATTATGTTAATTGTTTTTTTTTTGTTAATTTTATTTTTCAGTTATTATTTTTTTTTTTTGGATTATTTTTTTTTTTTTTTTTTTTTTTGTTTATGAAATTTAAAATAGCAAGACTATATAAAAGATTGACTGAAATATACCAGCAAGACTTTATAAAAGATTGAGTGAAATAGGAAAAATTTATTTGCTTCTATATCTCAAACACATATGATAATTATAATACATACAACTGACTTTAAAATCACTCGTGTACAATACAGAACTATGAAATAATCGAATAGTACAAACTCTTTGTATATTTTACCCATTCTAAATCCGCTCTTGTTCCCAAAGTATCCCCTTTCTTTTCACACTTTCTTTATCCAAACGTATTCTAACCCATATATTTAGTCTATATTACAACAATAATTATACAATACATAATTATACAATATACAATACGTATTATACAATACTTTTTAAGTATTGAAACTAATTATTATCAGGCGGATATCCGGATAGTTGAAAGTATTTTAAGCATATCCGGATGTCAACATTATTTGGTTGCTCCGATTAATACATTTCTGGCTGAGATAAACCTAAACTTCTAGGTACTGGTACTAAGCCTCTTGTAGCATATTCGTGTATTAACATTCCTTTAATGATTTGATTAATATACTTCTTGATTAGATAAGCTTAGATTTCTAGATACTAAGCCTATTGTAGCATATCCGGATATTAACATTTGATAAAAGATTCGATTAATACCCTTCTGGCTTAGATAAACTTAGACTTATAGATACTAAGTCTCTTGTAGCATATCCGTGTATTAACATTCGTTGAATGATTTGATTAATATACTTCTGGATTAGTTAAGCTTAGATTTCTAGATACTAAGCCTATAGAAGCATATCCGGGTATTAACATTCGTTAAAAGATTCAATTTATACACTTCTGGATTAGATAAGCTTAGACTTCTCGATACTAAGCCTCTTGAAATATATCCGGATATTAATATTCGTTGAATGATTCGATTAATTAACTTCTGGTTTAGATAAGCTTAGACTTCTAGATACTAAATCTTTTGAAGCATATCGGGATATTAACATTCGTTAAAAGATTCGATTAATACACTTCTGGTTTAGATAAGCTTAGACTTCTAGGTATTAAGAACTTCTAACTATATCCGGATATTAACATTCGTTAAATGATTCGATTAATACACTTCTGGATTAGATAAACTTAGACTTCTAGGTACTAAGGGTCTTGAAGTATATCGGGATATTAAAATTCAATGAATGATTCAATTAATATTAAGCCTCTTGATGGAACTTTTCTTCTTTCATTTCTATGAGTTGGTTTTAGTAGATTAAAGTTTTACACTGTGACTTCGAATAATACGAACCATGTACTACTATATATTACAAAAAACAAAATAAATGTGTAACTTTCTTTCGCAAACATTTCTTGAGTCATACAATATACATACATACGTATAAGTCATTGAATGAACTTTCGTCAATATTTTTACTCAATGTTGATTAAGATAATTTTCTTTATTTTTTCTAGTTATATATGTACATGATTCATTCAAATAAAATTGCTTAATTTTTTCTTAATAATTTTTAAAATGAAGAAATGATTTTATTAGCACTCATTTTAATAATTTACGTACTATGTAACTATTTTCTTCCGTGTGTTTCATTTTATTTTTCATTTGATCAATGAATAAATTTTTCATCAAAGTTTATCGCTATTTTTAAATAATTACATTACGTAAAATATCAGTCAGCTGAGAACAATAATTACGAAATCATTTAAGAAATAAAAGGCAAATGCTCGCAGCCCACGAGCGCACGCTTTTGCCGCCGTTGGAGATAAACCTATCGATATTTTTTAAGATGACAACACCAAGAATTAAATCAGCAAAAGCAAAATATAGAAAAATTTAAAAGGAAAAAATAAAAAAAAAATTAAAAAAAAAAAACAAAACAAAACAAAAGTAATTACGCGCAGTACATCATTAAATGCTGCCGTGCTTAACCTTGGGATTTGCTATTGACTTCTTTAAAACGGCAAGCATACTTAAATACATAGCCAAACATACATACGTACAAGTATTAGAACATTTCATTATTGCTTTTTTGTTCCTTTGTCATTTATTGTGCATCATATCAACATTGTAGTTGATGTTGGCTGCTGATTATTGTTGATTGTTCTTTAGACATTTACACATTTACACATTTACACATTTATACATTATAAATAAAATTATAATTTTATTTTGTTTTTGTTTTTGTTTTTGTTGCCTTTTCTGGTTCTGTTTCTAAGCATCATTGTTTTTATTTGATTTTAATTAAGTATATATGATTTCTAGCGTTCTATATGCAGTTGTGCTATTATGCACTTAATCTCACATGATCTTATATAGGAAAATAATTATGTGCTTTATGTACACACTTATCTACATATTTTATGTGTTAAAATATTAAATGAATAATGTGAAGTAGTTTATAAAGTTGAAAAGAATTTAAATTTACTGCTTAATATTTAATTATAAAAAAAAATATAAATTAATATTTTCATTATATTCCTCCAAGGACTCAAATGGTTATATAGAGGCACGTACCCAGTGAGAGGTCTTGAGGTATTTAATAAAAAAAAATAAAATAATGAAATAAAAGTTTCATTATTTTCCTCTAAAGATTGAAATCGAAGGGAATTATTAAACTGAAGTCTTTCTTAGTTATTGAGTCATGACTGTTAAATAAAATAAAAATGTTTTTAAATTTCTAAAATGATCTAAAAGTCATTTAAAATATTTTCGAATTAATGAAATGATCTAAAAGTCATTTAAAATATTTTCGAATTAATGAAATGATATAAAAATCATTTAAAATACATATTTACAAATTTCTGAAATGATCTAAAACTCCATCCTAAACTCTATCCTCCATTTCTGGCTACTAGCCTTATCATATTAATTTTTTTTTGTTTTGTTGAGGTAAATAAATTTGAAAACTGTTGAAAACATATTATATTATTATTATGTTGAGAGAAGTTGAGTCAGTGCACCTGAGCACTTTTACTCTATATTAACTGCGAGGTTTCTTC